GTGTTTGAAATGAAACTTGTATTGGAAGGACAAAATGGTTTTAATCACTCCAATCCCAGTGATCCTAATAGATCCCCATTTTCAGTGTCCCTACTGCCAATTATAATCTCACTTTTGCAATCCACTCACCTCAAATGTTTGGTAGTATAAAGAGTGCAATATCTCGCTATTGAAATGAAAAATAGTCTCTATGCCTGCATTTTTACCAAGATGAATATATGCATATTTAAGTCTACATTACCTTTTGGTAGAAAGTTTTGTCTCTTCCTCAGATATGCATTACATGAGGTCTTTCTAAATCTGAATACTTATACATAAGATTAGTAGAGTACATTAACTTGGGGTAAATAGAAGGTTGCACAAAAATGAGAGTTGATGGTTCAATTGTATGTCTTATGAATCAAGGAAATAAGCAAGTGGAATTTGAAATTTCCATATTGATAGTATAAATAAAAGGTGAGATATGTAAGTATTTAAACAAACCAAATATTGCTAAACTATTGCTAAAGCAGATAAATGAGGATGAACAGGCATTGGATCCTTGCATTCTTGCACCAAAACTTTGCAAACTCTGGAGCATAATGGTGATAAATGGACTGGGCTCTTATAAACATAGATTAAGCTTGAAGACTGATTAAATTTGATGGAATCATATCAATATATAAAACCATACATAAAACTGCTTTGGTCACACAGAAAGTAGTACATTGAAAGACTGGAGAGGAGTCTGATATATAGATTAACATAAAATAACGGAAAACAACACCTAGACCTTTCTACTCCACTCTACTCCATTTGCTGGAATACTTTTTCTTTGGACCAGTCATTCTCTCTCAGTACCATCTACCACACAGGGTTGTTGTCATGGAAAAAGAAGGGGAAAGGAGTATTACGTTGCTGCCTTGAGGTTTTTTTAAAATTTATTTATTTATTTATATGCCGCCCTTCTCCAGAGACTCAGGGCGGCTTAAAATGCGTACAATGAGTTACTTATAAAGCAATAAGGCAGGCCAAAAATCTAATAATAATATATAAAACAACCAAGATTCAGTATCAAAGATGAAAAACAGATGTCTAGTCAGCTGAGTAATAGAGAAGTAAAGTCTGGAAAAATTCAATGCATCTCTTTGGTTCAACAATCTGTTTTTGAGAAAATTGAGCAAATTCACTCATCTCAGTAAGGATGTTTATACATGTATATATATTTACATACAATAAGTGCTTAGTGAACAGCGTACTGCCTAAATCAGTTGCTTACATAGTTTTTTAAATCCTAATTTCTACCTCTGTTATCCAACCATTGATAAAACAAATCCTATGTTCAATAGTATTCTGTGTGTCCTCCAGTGGCAGCCCCTAGCATTGAGTGGCAGAGTGAGGTCCTATCATTTCCTTCAGTTTCTGCCAACCTAGAAGTTTGAAAGCATGTTAAATGCAAGTAGGTCAATAGGTACCATTTTGGTGGGAAAATAATAGCGTTTCATGCAATAGAGTAAATCCAATTAGTGTCAGACCTTTCCCAATGCAAAGCCCAAGTGTGCGATGACATCAGTGGAGGGAGAAGCCTGAAATGTCACTGCAGAACACTGTTGAACCTTTCAGAGTATGGAGCTAATCTGTCCTCTGTGGTGCACTCTGGATAGCGCACATGCATGAACTGAATGGACTAACAATTCATTGGCAGCCAAATAATTACTTTGTTCTCACACTGTAGCCAGTCTCCTGGCTAATGTAACATTGCCATGCACTAAATAAACAAACAAACAAACAAACAAACAAACAAACAAACAAACATAGTTTATTTATGTTCCAGTCAGGCTTCAGGCCTGGGTACAGCATGGAAACGGCATTAGTCACATTGGTTGATGATTTCTGGAGGGCTCGGGACAGGGGTTGCTTTTCTGTCCTGGTTCTTCTAGACCTCTCAGCAGCTTTTGATACCATCGATCATGGTATCATGCTGCGTCAGCTAGAGGGGTTGGGAGTGGGGGACACCATTTTACGGTGGTTCTCCTCCTTCCTCTCTGACTGTACGCAGTCTGTGTTGACAGGGGGGCAGATGTCGACCCCGAGGCCCCTTGTATGTGGGGTGCCACAAGGATTGGTCCTCTTGCCCCTTCTGTTCAACATTTATGTGAAGCCGCTGGGCGAGATCATCCGTGGTTTCGGGGTGAAGTACCACCAGTATGCTGATGACACTCAGCTGTACATCTCCACCCCGGATCACCCCAATGATGCCCTTGAAGTGATGTCCCGGTGCCTGGAGGCTGTGCGGATCTGGATGGGGAGAAACAGACTCAGACTCAACCCATCCAAGACCGAGTGGCTGTGGTTTCCAACGTCCCGATATAGTCAGTTGGTGCCATCGCTGACTATTGGGGGTGAGTCATTGGCCCCCATGGATAGGGCTCGCAACTTGGGTGTTTTCCTGGACTCAAGGCTGTCTTTAGAAGAGCATTTGACAGCTGTGTTCGGGAGGACTTTTTATCAGGTTCGCCTGATTCGCCAGTTGCGTCCCTTCCTGGATCGGGACTCGTTACGTACGGGACTCGTTACGTACTCGTCACCTCACGCCTGGACTACTGTAATGCTCTCTACATGGTGCTCCCCTTGAGGATCACCCGGAGACTCCAGCTGGTCCAGAATGCAGCCGCGCAGGTGGTTATGGGAGTCACGTGGTGCTCCCATGTGACTCCCCTGCTGCATGAGCTGCACTGGCTTCCGGTGGTCTTCTGAGTGCACTTCAAGGTTTTGGTCACCACCTTTAGAGTGCTCCATGGCTTAGGACCAGGATACTTACGAGACCGCCTTCTGCCACCAGTAGCCTCTCACCGATTAGTACGCTCCCATAGAGAGGGGCTCCTCAGGGTGCTGTCGGCCAAACAGTGTTGACTGGTGGTCCCCAGGGGGAGAGTCTTCTCTGTGGGGACACCTGCCATCTGGAATGAGCTCCCCCCAGAGATACGGAGGATCCCAGATTTATGCACTTTCCACCGCGCCCTCAAAACATTTTTATTCCAGCAGGCTGGACTGGCTTGACTCTCCCTTTTAATTTGCTTTTAAGTTTTATACAAATTGGGTGTTTTAAAATTCGTTTTTTTTGGGCCAAAATTGTTTAATGTACTTTTAATTGGTTTTTAACTTTTGTATGATGTATTTTTATCTTGTGGCTGTTCATCACCCTGAGTCCTTCGGGAGTAGGGCGGTATATAAATTGAACAAAATAAATAAAATAATATAAATAAAATAATAAATAAATAAATAAATAAATAAATAAGGTTGTATAAGTGTCCATATTAAGATGGGTGGATTTATTCAAACCATGTTGAATCTTACAGTGGAAGTAGTAGCTTTGTGGCAGTTTAAACATTTCTATTTTGTTTTGTTTCATTAGAGAAGGGTGTAGCTTACAATTCTGGCTCATGTTCCTTTTGGGTAAGTCCTTTATAAAGATAAAATATCATACATTCCACTTCAGGGGTGTCAAACTTGCATCGCCATGGTGTTGTCACGTGACATATTGTGACTTTTTTCCCCATCGCTAAACCGGGCATGGGCGTGGCCAACGCATGACGCATCCAGCCCACAGGCTACGGGTTTGACACCCCTGTTTCACTTCATCAGATACATGGAGCATTATTCTAGATGAGAGAAACTGCTTATACACACAGGAGCTCCCCTTCTGCTAGGATTGCTTTTAGGTCAGTCACCCTGTTGAAAACTCCCACATGTCATCCCTGGCATATTTCGTTAAGACAATAGATATTTAGAATTACATTTGGTCTTCTAAATACATCAGAGAATCATATGGTAAACTATTCAGATAAGCCATTGAACCTGATGTATAGAGAGACAAAGATACACCAAAAGCAAGTAGTTGGCTGCCAGTGAAAAGACTGAGAATAGACATGAAACAGTGTTCGGCGTATTGTACCACTATCTCTGTATTCCCTATAAAGGTTATAATCATAAACTATGTGGAGCAGGTTTGCAGGGAGCCCATTTTGTGCTTTAAAGACAAAAAAATAGTAACTTGAATGAAGATGGGGAGAAATTTCCTCTTTTAGCTATAGGGCTTGTTATGTTCTGAACAGTGGTTGCTTATTTTCAAAGGAAGTTGTGTACACCCTCCCTGCTTAGGTCAAACAAGGAAAATCTGTTGCAAATACCAACAAGGTATAATTTTGTGCCTTTCCTACTGTCCTTGTGGTGCTCTGTGATCTGCTGAAATTGTCACCTTAATAGCTTCCTTCTTATAAGAAGCAGCATTTTGTCTGAGTTTTTCCCCCTGTATATTAGCCTAATGAATATTAATGAGAGCTTTTCCACAGCACAGCTATAAGCAAGGAAGAATCCTTTGAAACCACAAGACTTGAATAATACTGTAAAATAAGCATCTATTTTTGCATATGCAGTCATCACACAAAATGACATATTATTTACATTTAGGGAGAAAAGTGGTTTGGGATTTTTTTTTTTTTTTACTCTTTCAATGAACAATCATGTTACATACTTAAAAGTACTTTTTAAAACTGCTGCTACCATTATTTAATATCATAATTTGAGCTCCCATACCAAGATAAGAACACCTGTGCCCATGAAATTGTTAGAATAACTACTCTTATGTCTGACTATGCTGTCTGGTACTATGGGGAATCATTTTGCCCATCTCTGTTTTAAATTATTCAGAGAGAAAAGTTAATAAACTACAGAAATCCTAAAAAAAAGAAAAAGAAAAAAAGAATTAAACTAAATTGTCAATGCCAAAATGTAAAAAGTTGATGCTAAAAGAGAGTATTGGAACTATTATTTTGTATGTGTCAAGATTTAAATTACATCTTGCAAAACATGAATCTTCCTAGTGCCAGAGTGCAATATTGTATCTTCCATTATGACTTCAAAAGACTGATTTTTCACACATTAAAGAAGTAACAGGATTGATTCAGCTAGTTATTCTCTCTTTAAAAGCAAGATTTCCTATGCCAAAATATCACTTGCAGCTCTCTCTTCTTCAAACATTTCGAAAGGACCAAGCCAAGGTTAATGTTGGGGTCTGGTTACTACAAAATTGCCTTTGGAGATAAAAAGAGAAAAGAGTCTGTTGCGTTTGAAGTAGCCACCTCACATCACATCATACCTCATGGATTTCAAAGGTCAGTGGAAACCTACTCACACTGCATGATACATCCTATGATTGTTAATATTATTAATATAATATAGTATACCAAGGTTTATAAATGTATTGTTTTATGTAGAGAACATTCCACTCAGTGTTAAATCCAAATTCTAGAATAGAATTAGATGAACTGATGGGGTCTTTAATTTATTCAAGGCAACATAGTGTTTTTAAATGCTCCTAACTCCAATTAAGAGTCTGTTTGGTATAGTGGTTAAGACACCAGGCTAGAAACTGGAAGAACCTGAATTCTAGTCCTGCCTTAGACACAAAGCCAATTGAGTGACCTTGGGCCAGAGAGTCTCTTTCAGCTTTTTGAAGGAAGCAATAACAGAATAATGGAAGAGACCTTGGAGGTGTTCTAGTCCAACCCTCTGCTCAGGGAAACCATTACTGAAAAAGTGTGCCAAGAAAACTGTGAGGGCCAAGGTAGTCTCCAGGAGTCAAAAACTAACTTGAAAGAACACACACAAAGATGTCCAATTAAAATCCTAGTTTGGTGTAGTGATTAAGACAACAAATTAGAAACTGGGAGTTCCAGTCTCTCTTCGTCTCAAAGCCAAGTGGATGACTTTGGACTTGTTACTTTCTTCCAGCCCTAGGAAGCAGGCAAATGGGGGTACAGTTAAAGACAACCTTCTGATAAAATCAAATCACTTGTAACCTCCCATTTAGATTACTGTAGCACACTTTACAGTGTCCTTGAAGATCATTTGGAAACTTCAACTGGGGCAAAATGCGTCTGCATGGCTAAAATCATGCCAGCTACATGGCACATGTAACACCACTTCTCTGTGAGCTACCCTGGCTGTTGGTGTGTTTCTGGCTGCAATTCAAGGTGCTGGTTGTCACTTTTAAAGCCCTATATGACTTGGGACTGGGTTACCTGAAGGACTGTCATTTTCTAAGAGTTTCTGCTCATCCAATCTGATCCAAAAGATTGGGCATATGGCAGATCATCTCAGCAAAAGAGTGTCGACTGATGGGAACTAGACAGGGTTTTTTTTTTTTTTTGCTGTAGCCCCTGACTTATGGAATATTCTCCCCCTCAACCCTTTTTGCAAAGCTTTAAGGACTTGGTTATGGGGCTTGGAAAATGTTAAGGACCTTTTATTTGGCCTTACTATCAGTTGATTAGCTATCATGAGTGCTGTTTATACTTATTTATTTTGTTTTTATTGCTTTAATGTTTTTAATTGTTTTATAATTTTAGAATTATAAGCTTCCCAGAGTCAGTTGGTTGAATTGGGCTATAGAAAATGAAAGAAAGAAAGAAAGAATGAATGAATGAATGAATGAATGAATGAATGAGAAGAGACAAGAATCAATATGAAACTAACAATTTCTTTTCCCTTTCATTTTAAAGAGTAAGTTTAGGGGAGAAAGCAAGCCTCAATGTGATGCTTTTAACAGGAAAATGTTCCCAAAACCAAGAATAGGCAAGATTCATAGAAGAAACATTTCCATATGTTCCAATGCTCAAGGAATGGAAATAGTGACCTCTAACTCTTGACTAAAATAAAGTTGAAGTACACCAGACTGCATTTTCAGTCCTTTGCCATAATGAATCAGCAGGATGTTCTAGCTTATGTAATTACAAAACTCCACCAATTTCTGTCCTGTCTGGCAAAATTTATTGCATGCTAATGATTAAAGTTTCCTATAAATTGAGAAGGAGGAGGAGGAGAAATAGAACAAATGGATCACTCTTGTTCCTCTTTTGTTGTATGCGTACATTTGGAATAATGGATTAGGATTTCCAGTGGTGGATGTCAATTGACTCTAGAGGTCAAATTAGAAAAGGCAGAATTCCCCCCAAAAGAACAAATTTACTTGAAAGGTAGAAAGCTAACGGAGAGTAGGAAATTATCAAATAGATATGTGATTTATCTAGTCAAATTCTGTTGATATAGTGTAGTTTTGACTTTGTATGATATAGGACTCCAGCCAACTGGGGCTTTTTGTTTTGGTGTGTTTGTTTGGATTTATATGACTGTCCTTTCACTTTCAGTGGCTCTGGGAAGCTTACAAACAATGGTTCAACAAACCATGGTTAAAATTATTGATTGATTGATTCCTTTCCTGGCCTTTGTATACAGCTTAAAGCAGCACGATTTGTGAATCAAAAATTATCTCAATGTGGCTTTCTAGAGTTTCAGCAGGAGCAAGGGAGTCTGCAGAGTATGGTAAAAATAATAATCATCAAGAAGGTGACTACAGCAGTGTCGATGCTTCCATTGGTTTTTATATGTTGCATGGTTAGAGGTTTGATCATTCAAAACAATCCCTATGTTTGCTTTTCAACAGGGGCCTTTACAAATTTCCCTGCATATCACTGACCTACAGTTAGTCTGATAATCAACAATGAGCAATGAAGTGGCCAGTATATCACAGAAGTGTGTGTCTATGAGCTTCATTGGTTCATAAGGATTAGGAGCAATCCAAGCCCAACCTACTCCAAGTTTAACTTTGTGGGAATATATATTTGAAAAAATAGTCAAAAATTAGCAGGTTAAAATATTGTGGGGTTTCCAAATACAAACTGATAAAGTCTTAGCTCATAATATGCCAGATATAACTGTGATTGAAAAATAGAAAGTGTGGATAATTAATGGGGCCAACACCAGGGGATAGTAGAATAGAAGACAAAGGATTGTAGAAGATCACAACTTATCAAGTTCTGAAAATTGAAATTAAAAGATTATGGCATAAAGCAGCCATGGTGATCTCAGTGCTTATCAGGACACAAAAAAATCTTGGACAGCACTTAGGCAATCTGCACACTGACAAAGTTTCCATCGGTCAGTTACAAAAGGCCACAGTCCTTGGATCCACACATATACTACGCTGATACATTATGCCATCCTAGGTTCTTTGGAAGAACTCAATGTGTATGAAGGTCAACTTCAGCTAAAGAACTGCCAGCAGTGATTTCGCATTGTTATGTATATAATAATCTGATTAACTGAAAAGTTCATTATGGACACAGGTCAAGGTACCATAAAGATAAAATTTGAAAAGAACAGCCACAAGTCCTTGGCAATGACAGGCAGCAGAAAGAAACCCCAGATTTAACCACATGTTATTCACACATTGGAGGAAGCAGAACATCATCTCATTTAGGTTATCATTGGTGCAATAAAGAAAAGTTAAAGTCAATAAAGAAATGTTCAAGTCAAATTCTAGTTACAGGGAAGTGCATCAGGTTCCAGGGAGAATCAAAACAGGTGTCCAAGGCAACCTTGACAGGTGAGGAAAGAATAATAATTTGATGATCCTAATATGCTACAAATGAGGCAATTTTACAGACCTTTTATTTCCCTAAAATGGAATTTCCTGCATGCAACGCATCCCCTTCTCTACCACTGAATTAGGAATTGTCCGTCTGCAGAATGATACCTTTTAAGGAGTACCACCATCACTGGAGCACCTACAGAAATACTGATTCTGGATCTTCATCAAAGGCAATTAATGAAACTCCCGTGTGCCCCATGTGTTTTATCCTGATATGATTAAATATTTTTAAAATAAAACAATATGACATCTTCTCTTCTTTTCCTTCTGTATCTATTTAATTTTATCCAGTACAGTGAGAAAGCCAAACATCTTGAGGATACCGATGCCTCTGGAAAGAGATTATACTCTATTAAAACAACAAGATGAATGGAATTAAAAAAATCAGGGACTAATCAAGTAGTGAAGGGAAGTCAGACCGTATGGTAAATAAACTTCCCTGTAAAATTTAAAAATGTGGAGCAAGGGGACAACAATGGCCTTGTCTATTACCAAAAAGTCTTTTTCTTACTAAATAAGCAATTGTAAAGCACTCAGCCCTGCTGATACTGGTTAAAAAGAAAAGTAAAAGAAATTAGCACTGAGATTTAGAAAGAGTGCTTTGGTGGCTATCAAAGAATATAAAAGATGCTAGTGCATGACCATCTGTGAAAACATGGTGTGCCCCCTACAGTTTTAATCTCAAACTTGCTTACAGCTGTGCAAGATTCTTTTGGAACAGATGCTTATTGTGCAATGTGGGATAAGTGACATCTGAAGAGTGATTCCAGGCAAAGAACATATTCGCTGCATGCAGCTAAATTCTGTATTGTATGTGTACTGCATAGTCCACACTTAACCTTTTCCCTCTTTTTGTCACCCCATAAAATATCAAATGTACCAGTGGCTCAGCTGTAGCCAAGTATCTTAAGTGACAGCCCAGCAGGCAGAGCAGCCTTTATTTGTCAATGAAAGTTAATGGCATAAATAGAAGCTCTTCTCTCTCACCACTTTCTTCTGCAAAGAGAGGCCTAGAAGTCACTGATTAATAAGCAGCCTTATTAATTCCAGAGGGAGAGGTGACTGAGTGGAGAAAATTAATGACCTCCTGTCTAGGCTGTAGCCCAGCCGAAAAGATGGGGGGGAAGTCTGTGAAAGGAAACAGAATTATTCCATCTTTTGCAGTGCTCTTGGACATGAAGCATTTGTCAAGATTAACAACTTTGTTTAAATTTAATTTTCATTCTTCTCATTTAATTTGACTTCATTGCTAGCTGGTATTGCCCCAGGTGTTGGTGTTTGGTTGCATGGCTAACCATTAAAGCTCTGTAAGTCAATGGTCTGAAGGCTGCACTTGGCTTTGGAGTGAGACTGTAGGCTAGGAGCCCCAAGCCCAAGTTAGCAGAGCCAGAGTCAAAGACCCTGCAAGTGCTGACTCTCTTACCAAGATTCAGGTGTGTGCCCCTGGGCTACCTGGTCACCAACTGGGGAAGAATTATTTCTCCCGCCTTAGAAACCTGGTGCCTTGTATCTATTACTCTAACAATCCTAACCATCACAACTATTTGGGAATGGGTATTGTATTTTATCCCATTGAAGGAAACTTCCTATTGGAAGATATTTTTTAATCAACATTTTCTATAAGGAACAGGTGGATCTAATACAGGGCTGTCAAATTTGCGGCCCGCGGGCCGGAGGCATCATGCACTGGCCACGCCCATGTCCGGTTTAGTGAAGGGGGGAAGTCCTGATATGTCACGTGATGCTGCCGTGACGACACGAGTTTGACACCCCTGGTCTAATACAATTTAAGAGAAAAAATAAATGTAAATTACAGATCATCGATTGGTATACAACAGAATGACAGTGATTGTAATCATACTTCAGTTAACTAAGAGTTGAAGTGGGTTAAAATGAGGCAATCCTTGTCCCTGGATTGCCACTGAAAGATTTTTTTGTTAAGAGGACCAGCTTTGACAGAAGGAAGCTTGAGCTCCATGTGTATAGTCTCCCAAAGTAATTTCCAACCGTATTGATAGTTGCCTACTGCAAAGTCTCAAAATAATGTTTAAATGCCTTTGAACTTAAAAACCTATTTCTGAAGCTGGCCCAGGAGCTATAAATAGATCCCAATTCCCTCTCTCTGTCTTCCTCACCCCCAATCTAAAACAGCCATAGGCTTAATTCAGCACAACCTACTTTTTCTATCCAAAGAGTTTTAATTTTTAATGGTTATTTTTTTCCTCATGGTCCTGAGTATGATTTCAGCAGGAGGCAATTGTGTTCTTCATCTCACTCTTTTGCCAATGTTGTGTAATTATATACATGTTAATTTTGGCATTGTAAAGTCCATAACATCAGTTATTTACTAAACATTAGATATGTCCCACTATTTACTGAGAATGCTGATTGGTAGCAGACCATATGATGTTAGCAGTTTAAGAAAGTGAGGTTGTTTCTATTGTTATTTGTTACCCCATGATGCTTTGTTTATTTAATTATTGTTTCTCTTCTGTAAAAATCTAGTATTTTTACTTTTCTTTTAAAACAAATGTGTCAGTGTTATTCTATGTAATAGCTGTATTCAGTCATAAAAGGCCATTCAGCATTAGAAAATTCATACATATTTGCCTAATAATGCCTTTTAAGTAATCTATCCCTTTGTTAATGCTTTTTTTCCCAACTACCAAGCCATATACCAAGAATCAAAATTAGCATCTAAATGAGGATGTTTTAAACACATGCCTAGGGGTTGCGGTTTTCACCTTTTTATAGTTTGCTGTGTTAAATTATGTAAAATAGAAATGGTATTTTAGTATTAATAAGGTAATGTAACCCTATCAACCCTCTTTTCTCTGTTATAAAAAAAAGAAAAAGGTTTTCAGATATATAAAGTAGAAATAAAACTAATAATAATAACAAAGCAAAATTTTATTGCATTTTCTATTAACTCATGAAACTTTATAAAACACTTGCAAACTACTTAATTGAAGTTGTAGTTAAAATAGAAATTGTTTTACTAGCTATCATTACCCACAATATACTAAAAGCAGCCTTTTTAAATTTCAGAACAAGATTCACTACTATTGTATTTGATTTTACCCCCAGTTTAATTATGAAAAAATATTAACAAGGTATAATGTATATATAGCAAAATCTAAAATTGAGTACAAAAAAAGGCTATAAAAAATATCAATGATTCATTTAACCACTGTCCCACTTTTCAAAAGAAATTTTGGGCTTTATTGTGGTTGTAAGTCAAGG